CGCGAGTAATCCATCCAAGAGTAATGTGTGTGCAGAGCTGTATGAAAGCTCTGTTATACATAATTTTAGTGTAACTTTATCATTGTTTTTCACTGTGAAAACACTGGACTACCGACAAGTGCTTGGCCTTGTCAGAAAGCTACAATTCCGCTGTTTCACGTGATATGCATGGCTTATCGCTATGATGGTCGCAGAGAAAAACTATAGAGAAGAACAAACAAAATGACTAAAAAAGACACTAAATTACTTAAGACACAAAATAACTATAAAAGATTAAAAACAACAAAAAGATGCATCAGGACTACAAAGAGATGCACAGCAAGAACCCAAAACGAGGTTAAACAACTTAAACAAATATAAAGTGTGTGTCTTGCTCTTATGTCGTAGATGTGGGGGGCTGATAATACGCCTGACAGTAATGTTACTTAGCTTGTTAACACGCAATACATGTAGCTTGTGTTTAGAGTACACTGAGAAATAAAATCGGACCTGGAAGAAAAGATGAATGCTTTTAGTTCTATTAAAATGATCCTGACTATAATCACCATAATTTATTTTTTTCTCTCTTGCCTCTCGGGGCTTCCGTAGACATCCCTATGAAAACTGAGCTTTTTGGTTATCATGCAGAAAAACTTGGTTCACTGTGGTTATTAAGACAATAAAATATGCATGTCTGCTCGACAGCAAACTGGATTTTTGTGTAAAGATGGCAAGTGCATCAAATAAAGGAATAATCATTGACAAAGTTTAAGAGTCTCAAGATCAGTGACTTGTTCATTTCTCCACCACTGCATGTAAATCTGATTTTATTTTTATTTCTTTCTTGTATTCAAGTGCATTATAGTTGCTTTGGTAACAAATCCCACACGTGTGATTGGGACTGTGTGGCACACAGCTGACATTACTTCACCCTAATGAGGCTGTGAGTGGGTGGATCATTAGCTGGATGGGTGCACCTGAGGAGGAGCTGGCAGAGTTTTAAAAGGGCTACTCCTGACAACGCTCCGTTTGCCTGTCCTCTCTGTGATCACGGCTTTCTTTGTGTTTGGTTTAGCTTGTGCTCAAACATGTACTCCACCCTGTCACTCGTGTTGCTGACTGACACTCACTATCAAATCCTTCTGATTATAAAAGCGTGCTGTGAGAATTGGTCGTCGCTGTGTTCATGCCTGGAGTAGAAGCAGCAGGATTCTCTGTGTGACCCTCCTGGTTTCTAAGATAAATGTGTTTCGACAGCTAACGGCTCCCCACCAGCCACTGACATTTACTGCAGGCTGCGTGGCAGAGGGGAAGGCGGCTGGCGAAGGTAGCTCAGACAACCATGAAGACCGGCCTGATCATAGCGTCCTATTATGACGACCCAAAGGCTGCTAGAGGAGAGAGTGTTGTGTGCATGAAATGAGAAGATACTCCACCGCACAAAGAAAAACGTTTTATTTTTTTGCCTCGTGCTGTAATTATTGTCACTCTACAAGCATTTACGGCTTTGAAAATGAAATGAAGCCTTTCACTGTGACATATATGTAATTACTTGGCCTCTAATCAGCACCTGAGTAAGTAGTGAGTAGTCCAGCCTGACATAACACCAGTGAGCTGTGAGGAATTAAACAGCCACTGAGTGTCAAATCGACCCTGTGTGTGTTTGACTTCTCACTCCAGACCGTCAACTCTACAGCTGCAGAAAGGGCTAGGGAAAGGTCACCGGATGCCACTAAGATGGTAATTGCAAAGCCCCATGGGTACTGTAGTTCAGCTTGCGCTGTTGCTTGCACGATATGCTCGCACGAGAAGTTTCCCCCCGGAGGTCTGGCAGAGGGGTGGCGAGGTGACGTCTCCGGGTCAAATGAGCGTTAAATTTATCCGCCCGCATGTTACTGTGTTAATTAAGGTCTCGGTGCTGCATGTGGGCGTGCACACACACACACACACACACACACACACACACACACACAGACATGCAGAGTATTCCACACAGCTACTTTTAGCTGCTGTCTCTTTTTTCCCTTAAAGGCCCTAAAGGAGTCGCCGTTTCTGCCCGAGCTTGTGAAACTAATTACAACCTATTCCTTTTTAGGCTCACAGATAATTTTAAAGCCTTTGAGTCTGATGTGTTTTCTGTGGGAAGACCTTGTTCTGACTGCTATGATTTTAGAAATGTTCCCCAACCACCATCTTTAATATTTGTGCAACAAGAGGAGTCTTTTTTATCTAATATTTACACTGAACTAAAATTTAAATGCAACTTTTTTTGCTCTCATATTTCAAAGGTGTAAGTTAAAGATCAAAGACTTGTGCATGTATGCAAAGAAAAGATTAATTTCTTTGAAATTTTGACAGGTGTGGCACATGAAGACCCTGATTAAACAGCCTCATTGCTACACAGGTGTGCTTTGGGATGGTCACAATAAATGGGCATTTTAAAATGTGCAGTTTTACTTAAAAAAATTTTTTTGAGGAGTTCACAGGACTAGCCCCACAGGAATGTACGTTTTTAGTCACAGATGCCCCGAAGAATCAGTCAATATCTGGTGTGACCACCGTTTGCCTCATGCAGGGCGGCACAGTGGTGCAGTGGTTAGCACTGTCGCCTCACAGCAAGAGGGTTTCTAGTTCAAACCCAGGCTGAGTCTGCATTTTCTCTCCGTGTCAGCGTGGGTTTTCTCCAGGTACTCCAGCTTCCTCCCACAGTCAAAAGACATGTAGGTTAATTGGTGACTCTAAATTGTCCGTAGGTGTGAATGTGAGTGTGAATGGTTGTCTGTCTCTAGGTGTCAGCCCTGTGATAGTCTGGTGACCTGTCCAGGGTGTACACTGCCTCTCTCCCAGTGTCAGCTGGGATAGGCTCCAGCATCCCCACGACCCCCAACAGCATAAGCGGTTACAGAAAATGAATGAGTGCAACACATCTTCAGGATTGTGGCCTGTGGACTATTGGCCCTCTTCAATGGCTGTGAGAAGTTGGCAGAAATGGCATCCCAAACATGCTCAGTGGGTGACATGTCTGAGTACACAGGCCATGCAAGAACTGGGATGTTTTCAGCTTGTGTATAGATCATTGCAACATAGAGCCGTGCACTGTCAGGGTTCGCTTTTATTTATTTGTGGCAGGCTGCCACGATTAAAACACCTACCGCCACATTTTAATTTTCTATTTTTGGAGCTGGACCATTCCTTAGGTGTGGAGTTGGAATATTTATACAGTTTGGTTATTCACTACTCCACAGTCTCGCAGGGCAGAGTGTACTCTAGGCACAGACGGAGCAGCAGAACGTCAGGCGCAGTGAAAGTGAAACTGAGCCATTTTCTGAGCTGAGTCTAAAGTTTGCTTTCACTCACAAACAGCTGCTCCTCTTGTACATCAATCTGATCTGATCAGATCGACTGATCAATTGTCCATCCCACGACTTAGGAAAAAAAAGGCTCATGAAGAATTTAGAAAGGGAGCACAGACTCATGCACAAGGACTCACAGGCAAGAAACCGTCATCAGCTACCACCCATGGATTCTAACTATTTGGGGAAACACCGATTATTATACTGAAACATAAGGGTCATGGTTTATGAAAGGTGTTGACAATAGGTCTCAGGAACTTGTCACAAAATCTCTGTGCATTCAAACTGCTGTCAATAAAATGCACCTGTGTTGGTTGTTGTAGCTTAGGCCAGCCTATACCATAACCCCACCGCCACCATGGGCCACTCTGTTCACAATGTTGGCATGAGCAAACTGCTTGCTCGCATGACACCATACACGCCGTCTGGTACTGTGTAAACTAGGATTCATATGTGAAGAGAACACTTCTCATATGAGTTAGATGGCATTGAAGGTGAGCAGCTGCCTATTCAAGTCAGTTATGATGAACTGCTGTCAGGTCGAGACCCTGGTGATGATGGTGAGAGTGCAGACGAGCCTCCCTGATAAGGTTTTTGATGGTTTGTGAGGAAATTCTTGGGTTATGCAAACCAAATCTTGCAGCAGCTGTTCAGTTGGCTGGTCTCAGAAGATCATCAGATGTGGAGGTCCTAAAGGCGCTCACAGACTCGGGCTTACTATAAGCGGAGTGGACTCCGTGAGGAATGTCTGCAGTCATTCGGGCTTCCATAGTTGAGCGCACTTCTGCGTTTTAGTTTCCTGTAAAAATGTCCGTGAAAAATCCCCGCGATGTGAAAAATACATGCCGAGCTGACACTGGTGTGCACGTGGTCGTAAAATCTGAGCTTTGCGCGCACAGGGCTTGCGGACGTCCGCTTTTAGTCTGGACAGACCCCCGCGGAGTCCACCCCACGTACGTTCCGCCGAGTATGTTTGGGCTTTAAGCTGGTGTGGTTACATGCGGACTGTGAGGCTGGTTGGATGTAGCGCCAAAATCACAGAAACGACATTGGAGACGTCATATAGTAGTGAAATTAACACTCAGTTCATTGGCAACAGCTCTGGTGGACATTCTTGCAGTCAGCATGCCAACAGCACACCTCTTCAATACTTGAGACATCTGTGTCATTGTGTTGTGTGATCAAACTGCACATTTTAGAGTGCCCTTTTACTGTGACCATCCCGCGGAACACCTGTGCAGCATTCATGCTGTTTAATCAGCATCTTGATATGCCACATCTGTCAGGTGGACGAATTGAAAAGGATAAGTGCTCACTGACACAGATTTGAACAAATTTGCAACCAAAATTTGAGAGAAATGTTTTTTGTGTGCATAATGTCTGAGATCTTTAACTTAAACCTGCAAAAGCTGGGAGTAAGTGTAAATTTAAGTGTAGAATTCTAATTTTAGTTCAATGCGGCTTGGTTGGGTTACCGCACATGCCCGCAGCACTTTACCCCGCAGCACTCGTTCTCTCATCCACTCTTCACCCCTTCCTGCTTGACGCTTGTGGCCCTCAAGATCTGACTCGCCCTGAGGTTTCATCCTATCTCATCCTGCTCTGATAATGACACACTGCACTGACTTACCTGTGATTTGGGACATGGCCCTATCACTAATAACTTACCTCTACTGCATTGTGTCCACTTCTTTCATCTATCTCCTGGTTTCCTGGACAGAGAAACAAAATAGAAGGAACAGGGACAAAGAAAGGGGCAGCAAAATGTCTTTTACTACATCTTAAAATGTTTTGAAAAGCCTGAAATATACTTTAAAATAAGGCACTTTGTAGCACTCCACTTACTCCAAGATAAAGATAAGGAGTATGAGATTTGTGAAACTGCAGCACCTCCTTTTTAAAGTATAAAATGTCTCATCAATCTATTCATAAAAACAGCAGTGCTTTAACTTTGTTTCAACTACAGGTAAATTAATGCAATTGAGGGCAAAGTCCCTGCAGCGGGTTTTGAAATTAAAAAGCAGCAGTGCACACACACTCACACACACCTGATGGGGAGCCCTGTTTGCCGCGCAGCTCTAGCTGTGTGCCGTTGTTCTTTACTGAGTGCGCCTTGGCGCCCTGCTGCTTCTCCAGCTCCCCTGCAGAGAACAGAGGACAGAGATGATCATCATATAATCACCACGACAGAGAGGAAAATAGGTAGAAAGACAAACAGATAGACCGCGAAGGGCGAAAGTCGTAATATAAACCATCGGTATTCTACGTTATTTCAAATGCTGAACACACACACGCGCTCTTTGTTGCCTCCCCCTCCTGCGCTCTCTCCTCTAATCTCAAAACACAGCTCACCATCTCTCTAATTACACTTCACACTTGATGGTAATTGCATGTCATTTCCAATCATGATGACTAAATGTTGTTTTGTCTCCACCACTGCACTGCATTCTAATTCTGCCGCCGAGCCGCCGAACACTGCCAGGTGCGACCTTTTACGTGCAGTACACCATGTCCTCCGATTCATTTTGGTGTGAGTGTGACAAACTGAACAGCAAATCCTGTTTTGTAGTTTATCTGGTGGGAAAGGGGGTCAGATGAAGCTATAAATAAACAGTGGCAAGACTTAACTTTATAGGTCGGCGTTTACCAATGATTTATTTAGTAGTTTCCTGGAAATGAGCATGTGTTTGGTTCTTATTATAGAGGAAACAGAGACAGTGTTTATATGCAGCAGCTCTTTCCAGGAAATTCTTATTGTTTCTATAATTAGCATATTTTTCCAATTTAATAAAGGAAGCTTCAGTAAGGAAGTCTCTCTTAATGCTCCTGTTCATTCACATATCTCTCTATCCCCTACATCCTCTCCCTACGCACTCTGGAAATAGGGAGTGGATTTGGATTATACAACCCTCTAACGCCGAGCCTGCCCTGATGCTGACTTGCTGACTGCCTTATTGTGTTCATCATGGAAGACGCTCTGTGCAACTAAAGTTCTGTGCGACCACCATTACAAACATAAACTGCTCAAACTCAGTAAGACTTTCATAAAGATGTTACCCCTCCGACAATCGCCACCTTAACATGGTGGAGGGGTTTGCATGTCCCTGTGTTATCCGGGGGTAATAGGCCCTGGTAGGGTCTCCCATGGCAAAGTGGTCCCAAGGGAGGGGCCAGACTAAGAGCAATTCAAGAGGATCTTGATGAAACGACATATTCGGACACTGAGGACCTCGCCCTGTATGGGGACACCAGGGCTCCCCCCTGGAGCTCCTTCTCTTCTACATAGAACAATAGATTTTAATGTCAAATGATAACTGTTGTGTCCTGGGACATCTTTCCTGCCCGTTTTTTTCTGTTGGCTGCAGGTGAATCAGGGTGTAGCCCTGCCTACCAGTACTGACTGCTGATGCCTGGCATGTGGACTGATTACCTGAGTTTAACCCTTTGAAACCTGAGCAAATTTGCTTGTATTCCTTTAAAAACATGGGATGAAGGCAATGAGCAATGAAAGAACTGAACCAAAAAAAATAGCAAGAAATTAGTAAAAAAAAAACCAACAACAACAAAAAAAGAAAATTAGTCAAAATAAATAAATAAAGGAAAAAAAAGAAAAAAGTTCAGAGCAACCAAAAAAGTAAAGGACCTTGAAATTATAATTCTGTAACATAATTTAAAATATATAATAATGATGATTCTAAATATAGTTTTCCCCGTAGTTTTTTAGTTGCTTAATAGTTGCCCGTTGGCTTTTTCCCCATGTTTTTGACAGAAATTGCACCAATTTGCTCAAAGGTTCAAAGGTTCAAGTACTTGGGAAAGGCGTTTGAAAGCAGCACAAGAAAAGTAATGTAACTCCAGATTTCAAAGGGTTAAAAGCTATCGGCCATCAGTCTCCCCTCTCACCTCTTTGTTTGCTTTTCACTTCATTTAATAAACTTAAATTTTGAGTGATTTAACTTGGTATCTCCCTCGATGTGGCTTCCTTTGAGCCAGGGTCGTCACAATAACATACAAAAATTCAGGTAAACAGTAGCAGCACATACAGAACAAATAACAGTGATAGAAATACATATAAAGACCATAAAATAGGATGAAGCTTTATTTTATTATTTTCATTACTACAGTTCCTCTTTCTACCACAGAGACGTTTGCCACTGTATTGATAGCCTACACCTTCATGAAAAGGTGGATGGAAAGACTGAAATGTTTCACAAAGAGAAGTTTTGGGTTGTGAGGATGTGAAGCAATTCGATGTGAGAAGATCTTTCTTCTGTTACATAAATTATTTCAAATTATTAATGATAATAATAATTAATAATTATTCAAATTATTATTCAATTCTTAGAGGCTCTTTCATGGAATTGATTTGGAAGCTTTCCATTTCCGTTCAGCACTTCTGCAAGCCTTTCTTATGCCCTTATCCCTGTCATCAAACCATGGAGGTGGTCTCTTTGAGGCAGGACATGGTTTAGACATTTTAAAGGGAGCTACGATATCGTGTGGTATCGTAGGATATCATAGGAACCAATACTTCCAGTCCAGTCCTGGTCCACATCCCAGATCTTCAGCCAGCTCTCTTCACCACCACCAGTACTGTCTTGACTCCGTACTAACTATATTATACTAACCATGGCATCATTACTCCATGAAATATACTACGTCACAATGGGGTCTAGTCACCAAAGACGTTTAAAATTGGCCACAGTTAGCTCTACTGATTACAGTCTAGGCATAATGACTAGAAACAGAAATACCAAAAACTGTAAAATGTTGGGTTTTTTGGAGGTTTATCATAAGATGGACTGAATTAAAATGATCAGTTCCATCAGGGCTTTTCCTCCTTATAAAGACCCAGATGCAGAAAAAATGCAGCTCCCTATAAAAACAAAAACAGTAATTTCTCAGAGAGGGAAAGCCCAAACATTGGCGAGCCAGCCGCGAGCGTTTGCTAACATGCCAACAATACAAACCCTTCGAGGAGAAAGGATGATGCGGTGTTTTTCTTTGCAGGCGCCAGCGATCATTCTTGTTCCAAATGCTGTTCCTATGTTATGTCTTGAGAAAAAGTTTGTTTGTATGCCTTTTAAGAAATATGTCTCAACATGAGTTATGTGTGTGTTGCTTTTGTGTGTTTTGGTGCACAGTAGCTGTCTGTCCTCGCTCCACTCAGTAAGAGAAATAGCTTTCGTCTGTCAACCGCTGCCTGTCTCCATATGTTGCTGCCTGCTCTCCCTCTCTATGAAGGGTAATGCAGTTGCGTCAAATCCCAGCAGGGATGCTCTCTTTGATGCCCACTGGCAGGAGGCAGACTCTGGATACCCCGGTTCTCCATGTGGGTCTAAGTATGTGCAAGTCTTATTGTCTGGAGAATTTCACATGCACACAGACCAAAACAACTCAGATGCCTGGCAGCTTTCAGGAATGCTGGCCTCCTTTCACCTCCAATTTACTGCCCTCCTGCAGTCTGTTTGAGCTGCAGTGCACCAAAGGAAATAAAATGCAAAAGTCACTCTGCACCTACACGAGTTAGCAGATAATACAAAACAAAGGATGGCTTCTTCTGACTCATGTGTACTATCTGAGGGACCTATCGATTCCCACACAGAGTGTCTCATAATCCACTGTAGTCTCCCACTTTCCAAGATGTGAGATTATTGATCTGGTCCATGTGATGCTGGTTGTGTTGCCACAGGAGGAATACACACAAACATTACAGCTGATGGGCACAAGCTAAGACATACACAAGTATAATGCACATGTATGCATTCTGATTTCATGAATCCATATTCTCCAAACATTTACAACTAAAAACACGCACTCAGTTGAGTGCAGATCTCCACCAGGCGGCCGCCTGATAATTGTTGTGATTTCAGCACCACAGCGCATTTTGGGAGCAAATAAAAATACACGCCTCTTCTATTTTTGACAGAGCTGAGGTGTGGTGCACAGAACGGATCAATATCTCCTGCTAACAGGCACTGTAGTGAAATATAGATGTAAATATAACATAATTATGAGGATGAATATATTTTCAATTAAAAAAAAACACATCCAGAAATCTTTGTCCCATGTCATTCAACTAAACTTTGAACAGTAAAATAACAACAATACACACAGTTAAATTAAACAAAAAAAGAAACAATTTATGTAGATAACCTTTCCACTACTTACTTAGAAGCCCAAATACAATATTAAGGAAAAATGACCAATTTAACAACATCTGTAAGTCTTCAAAATTGGGCTCCATTTCTGAAATGCTTCAACTTCCTTACAGTTACAAAGGCAGCGAAGAAAACACTAACAGGGACTAATTTATCTCATAACATGCCTAACTTTAGGAATCAAAACATATTAGGTATGGAATTAATCTGCAGATGCTTCGGTTCAAAATGAGACCAAACTTTTCTATGTCCATTTTTGAGCCACGATGAGGGCCAAAATGTGGCCTGCATAGACCGTAACCTTGTTTTTTTTTTAATGCTGATTACTTTTCCGGAAAACTTGCGTCTCCTACTGGCTGGTTTAAAGGAGTGAGGAGTAGGAGCAGTCAACGATGGAATAAAACAGATTTTTCAACAACTGTGCATCACTGCAGCCACATGAAGGTCGTTACGGATACAGTCATACATGTGCACAGAAAATATTAGGCTGATTGGCCAAGTAGTTTGCGAGGAGTGTTGCAATGGTATGGGATTTTCAGGGTACAATAACTGTCTCAGAAATGATCACGGTTTCAGGGTATCACAGTATTAGAGAATTTATATTATTATCAATCAGAATGACCCTTAAAGGAATGAAAATGGAAGATTTATTTTTGGTTCAACAAACATTTTATTACAATAACTGAAACTTGAAGCCATTTTTGTTAATGGAAGGACATGTAAAAAGTCTTCACTTTGAAAACAGCTGAAAAAAGGGGCGATTCTCTGTCGTTGCATTTATTTTTTTTAATATCATAGATAAGCATGTACACGGTATGATAACAGTCAACTTTAATATCATGGTATACCTTGAAACCGAAATATCGCTGCAACCCTATTTGCGAGATTAGTTCCAGACAGATGACTACACACTCACACACACACACACACACACGAATGCATGCTGGCACACACACATCCTTACACCTAGCAGATATAACAAATACTAACATCTATTTGTGTATTCTTTAGACCTTCTTATGTGTCACATATCATACCTATAACTCTCCCTCAGTATTTGGCAGCCTCCAGTCAATGTGCCTCCAGCCTTTCTTTGTATCATCGAGGGAAAACCCGTATAAAGACAGACACTTACACTCGATGCGTATCTGCTCCATCTCCGACACCTCCGCGATTGATTCCTTCAGGTCTTCTACAAACTTGAGCAGCTCCTCAGCACTCGGGGCACAGAAGTTAAGTACCTGCTTCTTGTCTGAGCCAAAAGGTGAGAGGATGGTGATGCCATGAGGGTAGTCTGGGGAGCACAGAGTACAGTGAGTTGTTGAGACAAGAGTAACAACAGAAATTGAAAGGACTGTTTCCAATACTACAGGTGTGTAAATGGCATTGAAATGTAAATTTGTAAACTCATTTTGTTCTTCTGGAGATAATTTTATGAAAACAATCTACTTAGCATGCAATGTGGATTGAAGAGGGGAGGTATAATTACATCTTACAAAGTGCAAAGGCATGATTAATGTGACGATTTTCTATGGGACCAACCAAGTCCAGGATGATGAATTTCTGCCATCATGAATATAAAAAATGAAGCAATAATAGAAGAAGTTTAATATTCAACCTATTTCAAACACAGCCATAACTCCTGTACCCCCTCAAGTTGGGGGTACTTTTACCCCGTTTTGTCATGGTCCAAACCTTCAGGTGTTATATCTTCAATGGTTTTCATGGCAGCTGTCTGCAGCTGTAACACATTTAAGTAATTCCACCACTGTTGGCGTTAACTATGCATGTAACTGATTATTTTTTCCACATAAATGACACAATTACAATTAATAAAATTTAAATGGGCTCATTACACCATTTAATGTCTTGATCATACCAAACAGATGTAGCGTAACATCACTGTGATGTAAGGATCAGATGATCGGAGCTGAGTCCCTACGTCTTGTGTGTGTGTGTGTGTGTGTGTACTTGTACATGCTACACAGTGAGGACCAACCTCTTATAGCAACAGAGTGAGGACATTTTTGCAAAGTGAGGACATTTTGGCCGGTCCTTACTTTTTCAAAGGCCTGTTTGAGAGTTTAGACTTGGTTTTAGGGTTCTGGATAGAATTAGGTTTATGTTAGGGTTAGGTTGGAGTTAAAACGCAGTGCTCTGAAAAGAGAGCTCTGAGGGGCACAGGCTTTTATGAGTCCCAATAGGGTTTGGAAGAGCCCCATGGATATTGCAATAATATGATAATAATAAAATTTTGGATAAAATCTGAGGGTACATGTGGGGCAATGGGAACTTTGTTATTTATTACTGATGCTCCTGTCCCCCAGGGTCTCTGAAGAAATAACCTGGTGACTGCCGATGAGATTTATGAGATAAATAAATAGATAAGTAGGTAAATAAACAAACAAATAAATCAATCATTAAGTAGGTTTAATTATAAATCAGCTGAAATACGGTAAATGATCTTATAAGTGTTGACTTGAATTAAAGAAACTGATGTAATGATGCATGTGTGGAGTTAAAATTAGTTTATTTTATACGTTGTTTTTTTTAAAATAAGAATTGTTTGTTTTATTGTTCCACTACTTACTTTTCATCATAGAGATAATGTAAAGAATCATAGATAAAATCTGACAGTTGTCTTGTCCCACACTGTTCCACAGTGACACTAAAAAAATCAACATGCTCTCATCCCAACTTGTTAAATATCGCTGCTTTGTCAGTGGATCTAAACATCAAAATATGATATGCTTGGTAATTTCCTGCATCAGTTTTGGACATTCTGGAATGGCATGCCAATAAACTCTTGTTACATGCATTGTGTATTTTCAAAGTACATTTCCATTTTCACTGGAAATGTATAGTTTTGACTCTTTTCATGTGTTTTCAAAATAAACTTAAAATGTATCTAAAACACCTAATTTTTAGGTTTATTTCCTCTTATTAAGTTTGGGTAACAAAAGTACGTGGTAAGGTTTAGAAAAAAACCTAACATGGCATGCTATACTTACTAGCGCACTACTTTGTTATTGAAATAGTTAGATTGATTTTTGGCTTTCATGGGAAATGAGCAGCGGCCTCTCACAACACTGGTCTGCAGTGAACACATCGTGACTTACATTCATTTTCAAACAGGTGAAACTGCATGCCCAGTAGGCCCATGGCTTTGCAGAAAGTGTAGGCTGCAGAGCTCTTCTTCTTTGGACAAAGCTTCAAGATCTGCAGACAATGAGACAACACTGAGTAAAATCTTAAATGACAGGGAGAGACCATTAAATGACTCTGTTCAGCATTCTGATCTTTTGAAATCTTTTTGATTGTCAGTGAGATTTCCATATCACAGAGCAATCTCAAACAAAACTCAGGAAAAAATAGTAATTTGAAACTAAAAGGAGCTGGTTGAGTCAACATTAATGTATAATACAAGCTTCAAAGTGTTTCAGATTGTGCGCCCATGCTTCATGAAAAACAACACCTTGGCGAGCTGATATCAGAGACGTTATGGAGCTTTTTTCATCGGATGACCTTCCAGATAGAGAAAGATGAGGCAAATCTGCTTTGCAGCTCTTCTGTGGGGCATAATTTACCAGGCGAGCCGTATTAAACCAATACATCACATCGGCACTTTAAACACTTCTTGACATGTTCAAGCTGCTCGAACAGGGGGCCAAATTCAAAGAAAAGTCCCCATCCCTTTAATTTCGCAGTAAAATCTTTCAAAGACGATTTCTGCCCCGCTTTCAAAGCTGTCGGGGAAAAAAAACGTCTCGCTGGAATATATCGCAACTTTTACTGCCAAATGAACAGAGATCCACTGTGATGTCTGAAGATGGCTTCTCTCACCTCTTCCTTTAAAATCGGCCTTTTAACCTCCTCTTCCTGTGGATACCAATTACTTTTATGCCTTAGCAGAAAAATGAGGAGGGATGCTGCTTTTTTCTTTGGCTGTTTGTTGGTGTGAGATCAACATTTGACACGATTATGAGAGTAGTTAAACACTTTGGAAATATAACCCCTGTGTGGCTCCTAATGAGCACAATAATCATGCCCAACATCAAACCTTTGATAATTCTCCAATCTACACTATTCTGAATAAACTACTTATCTGAGCTGTGGTCCAAATCCAACACAACTTTATCACTGGCCCTTGACGCCGCTGTGCAGGGGACAGATCTTTGCTTATGAGCGCACTGCAAAATTGAGTTTGCTTCTATGTATTATTAAAAGAAATGGCCAGAGAGTTATGAAACAACATAAAAGAGGAGAGGGAGCTCACAGTCGGAGTAGGTGATGGTGCATTGCAGCTGTCACAACAAAATAAGCAGCTTTAAAAATTGCCCGTGTGCAGCAGAAGCAGTCATATTGGGGGCGGCTTCTAAAGAAGATTGTAAACAACATACATATGAAGTATTTTTGTATGCATACCACAATGAGATCATTGAAGAGGAAGACTTCTCTCTGGTGTGCTGCCTGTTTTTGGGCCTTGTTGACATCCGTCACCTCAAAAAGTCGACTGCAGCACACCAGTCTTCTATGAGGGACCGAAAGAACCTGGAGAGAAAGACACAGACATCGAGGTAAAAGGAGGGCGTCAATCACTCAGATGAGGCGTCTGAGATGCTTTAAAGTCATTCAAGACCATATGAAGCGATAGAGAAACCCCCGGAGAACCCTCGCGGAAACTGGGGGAAAAGTGTCGAAGTGAAACAGGAAGACTTTTAATATAAATGACTTTTGGCTGCAGTGCGCTGCATTATTCACTGGGGCTAAAAGCTGAGACTGAAGTATCAGGAAGAAAAGCTCATTAAACACAGTTTGCTGAGACAAATTAGTGACTTGAAGACTGATCTACGTGCCTTAAAAAACATTAATTAGAGCTACAGATAAGACTGCCTGCCATCTCAAGGTTATCTGAATATGAACCGTGTTCCTCTGAGGAAAACATGGGCATGAATGCAGGTTTAAATTTTAGGATTTTAGCCTAATATATAAAAGGCATACTATACCTCTCACCCTCAACCATACAGAAACAATGCATAGACTTATACGAAGGTAATCCCTCTCAATCACCACTTATGACCCACTAGACGTGTGTGGCAGTGTATTTATCTGACTCTGCTCTCTGCCAGTATTTTCTTATTTTGCTGTGTTCAGAAAGTTTATAGGTGCAAAGCCTCCTGCAAATAACTGCAGGTGATGTAAGGACTTAATAAAAACATAGCAACCCTATGCCAGACTATGAAAATCATGGATACAACACCAAAGAAAAAAAACAAAAAACAAAAAAAAAACGGCAAACGGGCAAAGCTCACTCCAAAACCACAGTAATTCCGGGGCAGCTTTAACGATTGCTGGCAAGCACTGACAGAGAGGATGTAGATTAAGAGCAACTTGAAGTTGTCCTGTTTTCTGGACAGTTAGGTACCGACGTGACTTAGTTAGCTTGCTAAAGTATTGGCTTTTCCATTACGACAAATGTAACATTGCTACAATTGTAGCTTGCAGTGCAGGGAGGAGAAGCCAAGTTTGAACGTTGCATTTACAAAAAGTTCATTTATGAGGCCAGGTTTGATGATCCTTGTTCTATTTCTAGTAACCCTATTAGTCCTCTAAAGGAAATGTTCGGCCACAGGTCACTCAAACAAAACTTTTAGTTCAGTCAGGAACACTTTGTCAAAGAAAACTTTATTTGCATTTGCAGTATTATATTTGGCAGTATGGCTCTGTTCTGGGGCCTCTCTACCTTTCCTCGGGCCTATGCGGAAAGCCTCTTCCATGTTCTATGTGGAGAACCTAAGACGGAGGGAGCACACCTCTCTGCCCTTCCATGCGCTTACTGGGAAAGTCTTGAGGCAGAGAGAGCAAATCTCTCTGCCCTTCCATAAGGATACATGCAATCAGTTGCCAACAAAAAGGACAAATTGCACTCAGTTGCAATACTTGATGTAGCCTATTCTTTGTGAATTCACCCATGACTGTTTAATCTTTTGCAGTATACATCTTTCTGTTAAGTTACCAACCCTGACACCAGATGTTTCACTCTATCAAGGCTGTTGTAGACTAGTGGTTCCCAGCTGGTCCAGCCACAGGGTCCAGTCCTTAGTCATTAGTTCAAGGTCAACACAGTTTAATATATTCAGAGTCATACTTGCAGTTGGCCATGTCATCGAGATAGTTTGCTGTCTCTTATTTACTCTCTCTACAGCATGAAACTGCACTTCAAAATAAAAGCTCTGTGCCAGATACTCTCTGTACTTCAAAATAAAGTGTTTTTACAAACATGACACGTTTGCGAGTCACTTGCGGTCCATTCAGAATGGATCTGCAACCCACTTTTGGACCACGACCCACCAGTTAGGAACCTCTGGTATAGACTGTGGAACCCAAGTATCATGAACTGGATTAGCAAAGGTGGTAAAGCTTCACTTGGAGGTGTTTTATTTTGTACAAAATGCTGCGGTTGATTCAATTGAGGCCTAGCTTCTCCTCTTGGACTTAAGTGCTTTTCCCTGTTTAAGCAGATTACACTACAAAAATGGCCGCGACTGATCTAATCACGTTCTCTCCCCTTCATGTATCTCTGACTCCATGTTGGATCACTGCAGGAATCTAAACAACAGCTGAGTAACTGTCAGCTGAAGTGAAGTTGATCCCCTCTTCATGATATAACGGAAATATTCACAGCCCCTGTTTGGTTTTCCCTCTGTGTATTCCCACTTTGTGCTCCCTGTGGACACACACATACTCGCTCTGTCATCACTGCAGGGTCTACAGGCTCCCGCTCAGCTGGCCACAGTCAGCCCGCTTTCTCATTACACTAATGTCAGAAACATGTAAAGACATCATTAGCTTCAAGTGCCTCTAGTGTTTTAAGAAAATAATCCTTTTCTGATGGGATTATTAAGAAACAGTGTGACAGGAGAGTTTAGTCATACAACTAAAAAACTAATTGTGTGACTAGAGAAACATGGATTCTACAAATGCTATTCATATCAGATATTTATGGATATTTGAGGTAAACGTGGATATAAAGCTACTTCATCACATACGAGACAAATTGTTATAGAGCTTTCATCAGCTCATCAAATATGTACACCAAGCAAACTCTTATTATCAGGAAAATCATTCTCCCTCTGAGCAAAATAAGTTTTAAACCCACAGTATGGGGGACTCTGACACCTGCTGTGATGGTATTTCTGAGGAAGAAACTTTATCTGAGTCTTTTTATGGCAGACGGCTCCCATGAGCAGGAATAGTCACTTCCTGTCACAACAATCCATCATTGTTTTGGCTATGACAACAGTCCCTCTGTCATCCTATGGCTACTCATCCATCACTGAGAGACATTTAAAGGCACAAGTGAGGAAAAAAAAAGGTGGCAATCTTTTCAATGTCATTGTTCCAATGTCATTCTGAAAGTTAACAGGAAATAATTGAGATTAAATTTCAGACTAATTAAATTTACACTGAAAACTTTGATTCATATTGTGGATGGACAGGAACACTGGACTCAGGAGTCTACAGTTAGAGTTAAACAGTGCTTACATGCTGATGTTTAGCAGGTATAATGTTTACCATGGTCATCATTGGCTCTGTGTACACGTGGCATTAATATGTACCTTGATTGGTTGGATCACCCACACCTAATGTGTCGGAATGCTCAGACCACATTCGAAGGTGGTCTGGGCCGCGTATGACCACATTCTTTCAGCAGTGTGTATGCTAACATGTCCAAGGTCACACTGAAGGGCCGCAACTCAGCTGACGTCCTCTGTGTAAACCAAAGTACAGAACTCTTTTGCAATAAAAAAACATTGCCAGTATGTCAGACATCTTGGGTGATCTGGTTTGCCTGGAACATGCCAAAGAATTGGCATGTATTGTTTTAATTCAATCAGGACCACTTTAGTCAAACAAAACTTCATTTCCATTTGCAGTATTATGCTGTAGTATTATCTGCCCTTCCATGCATCTAAATGGAGAGCCTAATGCAGGCAGAGCAAACCTCCCTGCCCTTCCATGCGAGGAGAGCAGCAGCAAAGACTCACCAGGCACAGAACAGAGCAGCATCAATGACAAACAGAAACAACATTGATAAGTCAGACACAGCATGAAAAGGAGGAGCTGGGGTTGAGGCGTGTTGCAAAGTGGCTTGCAGAGGTAACAGATACACAAAGTGTTGCGTTTGAAATAAAGGCATGAGGCACTAACTTTATCAAGGCAAATGTATGTAAATATATAAAAATACAGAGGGAATAATGAATAATGTCCCATAATTTTTGCGTTTTTACTTTGTCGTGGTAACATCCCTAGAGGAAATATCCTCTATGTATATGTATATGTATATTTATATATGTGTGTGTGTGTGTGTGTGTATATATATATATATATATATATATATAGTCTGGGGTGTTGGTGAGGAACAGTTGTCCACGGCATCAGCTTGCTCTGTGTTCCTATTGGTCAAAGTGACGGCTGTGACAGGAGAAGTCGTAAATGACAAAAGGAAAACCAAACATGCTAGACTTTCTATCGCGACATCGTGAGGTGTCCCAGACGTGGCGTCGTCATCGTCTACTATGACACACTACACGAGATGAAACAATGGATAATTGTGTCAGACACTCATTCTTTCACGATCCGAGCCAACACTGTACAATGCTGCATCAGGCTGTAAATCGGCTGATAATTTTTAGTGTGAACCAGGCATTAGGTATGCATGATAATATTGGTACATCGTCGGCCAATATCAGCATTAAAAATCAGAATCAGCCAACATGCTTTTTCTTATTATACATTGAAAAGTATTGCATTTCATGTCTCCATCTGCTGGTTGGCCATCACAGTAAGAGTATGCATACATAATATGATGTTGATTCCACTACAGAAGAGACTGGTGATCACTAAGCTGAGCTGTTCTATATCGGCATATCGGCTACCGACTAAAGCCCGCTTGAAAGGTTGCCAGATTACACTGCACATTTTTGGCACATCTGTGACATCATAATTACAATATTTACGAAAATGAAAGCTAAAAAAAGCTGAAGGCAACATAAATGTAACTGACTCTGACTTTACTATTGACTATTATTCATCAAGCTACCATCAATTCATCATTATGCATCTAAATTAATCTAATTTCAATTATGTTTTACTGTATAAAGGCTGTGGTATACACTGAGATAAATACTACACTAGCTCTTGTGTATGGATGCAATATAGTTTTACAGAGCTAAATGTCAGAGTGTATGGGAAACAAATCAGCAACTTTATCTATATTTCATGAATAACGGATTTAAGGCCTTGGTGCACTGATAAGATTTAAAAAGTAATTCCCTGAACTGTTGAATCATTTTGAAAAAACCTTTCGGTGTTTTATGAGTGGGCACACACAGCACATTCCCACATGAATCAGTGTAATCAGTCAATTATAAAGCTAAATACTTCTGCTTCTGTGTCTGTCTCACACTTAAAAACTCTAAAACGTATAAAACTTTCCATAGAAATATTCACACGGCAAATGGAAACAACAAGTCTCTGAAGCTGACTCTTAACTACAGAAATTCCAGTGTTCAGGTTCAAGCATTTACATAATGCTACTCATGCGCACTGACCAAGCCTTTAACCTTAAACTGTTAAAAAAAAGACTCTAATGATAGCAGTGGTTAATGACGTATCTAGCTGGAGTAATGACCTGAGGTAATGATCCTGCTGCTGATGAGACATTTAATGGCTAATAAATGTGCTCCGCTAACACTACTAAGGCTAGGTGATAGTGATAAGGCCTTGAATAATGAGTGAGTGACTTGGCATGGAGTTACCAAAGAGTCAGCATGTGTAATCACTCATGTTTTCTGCTTTCTACTATTCTAGCAAGCCAAGAAGATTATAGGGTGTTGTGTAAAATATATACTGAATTATTTGTACTGCTGTGTAAAGGAAAGGATGATTCAGTGGAAAGAACTGGTGAAGTTTCTACAGAGTCTGATAAGGAATAAAGTTACTGTACCATAAACTCAACCCCATCCGGGAATAAGTTTAAGTAACTTTTGGATGTGTGTGTGTGTGTGTGTGCTGTGATGCACTATGTATGTCTTTGCAAGCACCAATATGAATTTTAGTTCTTGAGAAAAAGACAGTTTTGTAAAGCGAGGACATTTGAGGAAGTCCTTACTACTGCTTTAGACCTGGTTTTGGAGTTAAAGCCACTCTAATCAATACATTTATGGATCATGGGTATAATATTTATAATGTGAAAGGTGCTGTTTATAGGGATTAACTCACAAGAGCTGTCAATCATTGTCTATTGTCTATAAGTCCATTCAAATTTCATTCCTTGAGACCCTGTGTCCTCATATGTGGACATCACATTTTGGGTTTACTTGACCTTATACTGCCATCTTGTTTACTTTAACAAGATGGCAGCCGTCTCTGCCAAGTCAGTCTGCAGCTGATCCTGACACAAAGGTGGACAAGGTTCAAAACCTGATCACATTTAATGGTTATGATTAATAATGTTTGTAGTTTGATATGGCAACAAATTTTACAAATTTTAACAAGAGGAACAAGATAAATGCTGTTAATTACAAAGTACTCATTTGAAGACACTGGGACTTTATTATCGTCTCATTAGAGGACACTGGGATGTAGTCTCATTCGGGGACATTAGGACTTGACAATATATATATATTTTTTTATTTATCTGGTCCTACTAATCCCAAATAGCTAGGAGAAATTGAAAATGCATACCAAACAAAAGTTTGGGTGTCAGGCGGATATCTAATCTTCAAACTGTATTCATTTTTAATGCTCAAATTTAGCCTATTATCAATATTTACCTTGTACCTATACACTGTGCACACAGGCTTATCAGTTGCCAATGACACTATCAGCATGTGGTTGTTATATGTTCTGTCCACTAGAGGGCATTTCAACATTACCAATAAACACTTGGAATCACCAAGAGGTGATGGTAATAAATTAGCTTCGGCAGAAAATAGATAATTTTATCTTGTCAACTTTAACGAACATTTTCAGTCTCACATTGCTTAAATGGTCAGATGCTTTCTGCCATTTCTTATATGAGTGCATTCATAAATAGTAATTCAGAGGGCCAGAGAGCACAATGAGACACAAACCGAACTGTTTGTGAATTTGGAGTGCTGTTGGAATTAGTTATTCAGAGCACCACAGTCATGAGTGACACAGCAGCAGACTGCAATTCATTTTCAATGGAAGCCGGTGACGTGAAGCTACAAACTGGCACCCAACACTTGTCGTTGCCGATGGGCATGACGAGCTACCAATGATACTTTTTCATGCTTCGGCTGTAACTTTCTTCCTCACCCTGCCATTCACTTCTTGCATGCATGCTCACCATCTATCTCTATCTCTATCTCTATCTCTGTGGTGGAGAGTCGTGTTTTGCCTCCAGTTAACAAACTGATGCCATTGTGACATCGGCCCTTAAAGGGTCTATACTGGACTTACATTCACCAGGTAGCTAAATTAACAATATGTCAGTGTGGTGTTTACAGCTTGATGTTCTGCCCTAAATGGCCAAAACATCAACTAAAGGATAAGGAATGCATTGTGTTACTGAGATTATTGAACAGAAGTATGTCTGTGTGTCCATACCGTTTTCATGCCCACGATGGACTGCTCAACCTTGGAGACGTAGGTGACGTGGTCTTCGTTGGAGCGTAACTCCCTCAGTTGTATTCTTTCATAGATTCCCACCACCATGTCCCTGGGGATGTCTGCTCCGTCATCCACACCTAAGATGGAAATAGGCTGATTACGCACAAGTGTACACACGTCACAGGGCGGCCGCTGTAATTTTACCAGACATTCCTGGAATACAGAGTGACTGATGTTTTAACAGCGGCAGAGAAACCATAGTGTGTCTACTCTGGCTTAAGTACAGCAGGGTATGTGTCACTACCAGAGGAAGAGACACACATAAAAATGTACATACAACATACAACATGGCTGTGTACATATGGGACTGACACACTCTTCTTTGACTTGCAAAGAGTGGAACAAACTTCAATATTCGGAGCTAAAGGGAGCTCTGTCTCTCCTCATTCGTCCTTCTTTGACTTTCTGTCTCTCACTGTCTCCATTAAATAATGACAGAAGGCGAAGTGAGAGGAGGTTAATTGGCGAGTGAAAGGTTAACACCCATAGAAGATTTTCTGTCTGGAACACAGTGCAGTTCAAGGCCGTGACATTTCGACGCAGGTAGAGCTGCATGTTGTTAGGCTGAAAGGTTGCCCTCGAGATGCTCCCCATTATATCTGCGCAGCTGTACTGCGCTGCGTGGTACATTGAGTTTTCAATGGGGCAGGGTGTGTTTGGAGAAAATGAAGCTGCCACAAGTGATGGCGGTGACAGTGAGGCACCCTGGGACACCGCTGAGACATCGCTGCACATTATGGAGTCAGAGGGAGTGGAGGAGATGTCCAGGGGGAAATGCGTTTAAAGTGTCAGATAAATATGTTGCATTTTCTTCGCTGGATGTCTCTTTATTTCAATCTCTCTGCCAGTTCTCCCACTTACTCCCACTCACCGTGACATAACTGCTTTCTTTTTGGCCACGCTAACAGACACTTTGGTCCAGATTAAAATATCCACACAGCTTTTGGATGGATTGACGTGCAAATTCTTACAGGCATGATAAATCCTACAAATTACTTTGGTGATCAAGATGTGATTTGTTGTTTTGAATAAAATCTCTGGACAACTGGATGGACTGCCATGAAATTTGGGACATTTCCCCCGGAGCTATGGACAGACTTCAGTGACTATACATGTGTCACAGCTCAAGTTTCTTAGGTTGTCATGTTGCTTCCTGTTTTACTTTGAAACTCACATCTCCTCTCGTTTCAGATTGCTTCACTTCCTGCCTCTGTGTTTTCCCTCCCTTTTGATGACTTCACCTGTGTCTGATTGTCTGTCCCACCCTGATTGGCCTCACCTGTGTCTTGTTATCCTTCCCCTCACCAGAGTATTTAGTGTGTGTCTTGTTTTCTCTCAGTCCCAGTTCGTCTTAGCTCCTTGTGTGTCTAGCGTTCCAGCCTTTTGATTCCCTGTATCCTTTTCTTGCTTTTTTGGATTTAGCGTGTTGGTTGACTCTGCCTCTGCCTCATCCCTGTTGGATGTGTTTGCCTCCACTGATAGACCATCTGTGTACCGAAACCTACCTTTTGACCAGTAGGCCAACAGACTGTGTTATTTTACCCAAACTCACTCCAGGGACATGCATTCCTGAGTTATTTCAATGTTGTCTATGAACATTTTGGGTTTATCTTTGTTTCTATTTTTTATTTTTGTTACAAAATATCATGAAGTTTGATTTTTCTACATATATTGAGAGAGAGTTTGTTCATCTGAAACCATTTAGTGTGAATGCCGACTATCACCACCTGCTGGTGAAGAGAGTTATTTCCTCCCACACAGGTGCAGAACGCTCATACTAGTTGGCTGTTGGCCGTAGTCTTTTTGGTGTGTTCAAGTGCAACGTTTTGGTCGAGACAGAGGCAACGTCTTCCTTTGTTTCCACTGTAGTAACTTTGGTGATCCCTCAGCTTTTCATGTAGCGCCATCATCAGGTCACATTTTGTACGATACTAACCTGGTTACCTGGTTATGAAATACCTACAAAACTTTACATTTCCAACAGCATCATTGTGTTTAGTGCTTATTAGCAAATTCAAAACTCAAATAATGACCATGGTAAATATTACACATGCTAAACGTGCTTAACATATTTTCCTTTCCTTTTCCTTTTACTATATCCTTGTGAGCATGTTAGCATCCATCCATCCATCCATCCATCCATCCATTTTCATCCACTTATCCAAGGCCCTGTCGTGGGGGCAGCAGGCCAAGCAAAGCACCCCAGACATCCCTCTCTCCAGCAACTCTTTCCAGCTCCTCCTGGGGGACCCCAAGGTGTTCCCAGGCCAGATGACATATGTAATCCCTCCAGCGTGTTCTGGGTCTGCCTCCGGGCCTCCTACCAGTGGGACGTGCCAGAAACACCTCCAACAGGAGGCATCCTGATCAGATGCCCGAACCACCTCAACTGACCCCTTTCGATGCGAAGGAGCAGCGGCTCTACTCCGAGCTCCCTCCAGATATCCGAGCTCCTCACCCTATTTCTAAGGCTGAGCCCTTGTATCTGTGATCTCATTCTTTTGGTCACTACCCAGAGCTCATGACAATAGGTGAGGGTTGGGATGTAGATGGATCAGTAAATTGAAAGCTTTGCCTTCTGGGTCAGCTCCCTCTTCACCACGATGGTCCAGCGCAGTGCCCACATCATTAAAGAAGCCAAACCGCCGATCCATCTCACGCTCCATTCTACCCTCACTCATGAACAAGACCCCGAGATACTTGAACTCCCTTGTTTGAGGCAGTAGCTCTCTCCTGTGAGTTGGGATGTTAGCATGCTAATATGCAGCACCAAAGTACAGTCCACAGAGCCACTAGCATGGCTGTAGGCTCATGTTTCACCTATGTTTCTCTTGTAGCTTGAGCTTTGTCTCTTCTCTTTTACTCTCTGCCTCTGCTTTCATCATGTCAAATGTAAAGTTGGCTTGTCATGAGGCCAGTTAATGAACAGAAGCCCACCATAAGGACTTAAAACGCAAACTGAGCTCTCTGTGCAGATCTGAGTCCCCCCTCTCTATCCAGTAACTGAGACACTACAATTTACATTTTCCAATGAGCTGACATAAAGAATTAATTTATGGTGGAAGCTGGTTTATATTATGTTGGCCCATTGTGCAACAGCTTTGACACTGACGGTCTGTTTTAATTGAGATAATGAATGTTCTATGGTTCTTCATTACTATTGGTTTCTGGTGCATAATTGCATTTCACCTCAGCCTATTAGTTGATTGAGCTATTCCTCTGTCAGTGTGTATGAGAGACGTGAGTGAGGAGAAAAGAGGAGCAAGAGACGGAGAGAATATAAACAAGGAAAGACAGATGAATAAACAGACCAAATGATATTCTGTCCAAGACAAAACAAGATAAGAGAATGGATAGAGAGACGGAGAAAACACAGTAAACTGAACAGAAGACAAATAGAGAGGCCAAGGGAGAGTGGCGTATTTTAATTTGCATAAGATGCCGAAATTGATTTTCCAACTTAATTTAATTGTGGGGAACAGTCTGCATGAATCTATTAAAGCTGTTCTGCATCGACCTCAGCGTTCCCTGATTGATTGCGCAGAGGGAGAGCAAAACTACGAAGCTCGTCTCGTCCTCAGCACTCGGCGAATGAGCATCTGTCTGCATGCTGGAGACAAGAATTACAGGTGCTTTCTGTCGGTGTCGCTATGAGTTGTGAATGTGTAAAGCAAGGCGGGCAGGGATAGAAATGTAACCTTATTTTTATCACCTCTATTTATGCGGGGAGGTTTGATTGAATACGGAGCCGAACTCGGCTGCACACTGACTCACTTTCACTGATTCATCGTCTTTGTTTAGGATCATTGAGTATTATTGGTTTCTTAAACAACTGGGAAAAACAGTGACAAAACAATTCCTCAAACTTCTCAAACAGCAGTTGTTTATGGTCAGTCATATATATATTAGCTATAGGTGAGCACTTTTTGGCACCTTGTGCCATGGAGTGAATTGAAAATGAAAGCCATATACTATAATTATGGGATTTTTGGAGGGTCTTTCAATTTTCCTCCTGTCTGCTGTGACTTATTCCAGTTTTTGGTGGTATTCATTTAATAAACCAGGTGGTGGTATATAATTAATCACCACCCATGCAGTGAGGGTAAAAGATACCATGTTTGTTTATCACATATAAATATATACTGCCATACTCTGTGTTTAGTTCTAATTAGTAAATATTTGCTTGCCTGAACGCTTAACTAAGATGAAGAACATCTGCATGTTAGCACGGCTATAGACTAGAGACAAATTTATACTTGTGCGTCAGCTCTATGCAGAGCCTACATCATGGCCTATGCACGTGGCCTGCGCCGTTGTGAGCATTTATACTTGTGCGGTGGTGTGTCTGTCACTCTGCAGTTACACCTCCAAAACACTAGTCAGCAGCGGAGGTTTCTGTGAAGTGCTGCAAAGTTTAGTTGATTCAAAACACACATTAAACACACATTAAACATGGCAATTTCAAACACAAGTGCACAAATCAGCTTCACTATAACTCGCAGCATTCACAGACAAAGCACTTGTCTTTATCTGGACACATTTTCCCCACAAATTCAACATGCTAATGTTTTTAGCACAAGCCTATGGCATTTTACATTGTATAAATTAGCCTAGTGGCTAGCAGACTTTTCCTCTACTCATGTGAAGCCAGGGACAACAGCAACATTTAACAAAGGTAACGTTACAAAATTCAGCTCCATTACAACTCAGAAGATTCACTGACAAAACAACTGTCTTATACTTAACACGTTTTCCAAACAAATATAACATGCTAACGTTATTAGCACAAGCTTATGGCATTTTACACTGTATAAATTAGCCTAGCGACAAGTGGAGATTTCCTCTGCTCGTATGAAGCCAGGATAAATCACACACAAGACTCAAGATGCTATTTTGTTGGGGCTTTATCATCTACACAATTTATTGTTTCTTATCTGTGAAATCAAAGTAAATAAAAGCTTTGTTTCCACTGAGGGAAATGGTTTCAGCTTACAGAAATATACAGGAGGTCTGCAGGCCAACAGGGGGTGACTCCACTGGGTGCAAAAAGAAGCCTGAATGTATCCAAGTCTATGTGAAAATGACCTTCTTCTTTGTCTCCAAGTCTTCTTAAATGCATCACAGCATGATTTTCATTCTATAAATTGGTCCCATTTAGATTAAATGGATGATAGAGCAGGGTATGTCTCAGGGCGTGGCTACCTTGTGATTGACAAGTCGCTACCATGGCGATGTCCTCAGGTGGTCAGCCAGATCCATCCCCTCGCTCCTGCAAAGCTCCAACCTCTAGTCCAAATATGATCAGTTTTGGCTCCAATAAACCAACATGCTGAACTCAAGGCTTTAAAATGGTAGTCCACAAACTAATGGGTGGCGTGGTTGCTACGTCCACTTCTTTCAAGCACTCTATGGTCTAAATAACTATAAATATATAATTTTAAAAACAGTTCTAGCTTTATGTTCCACGTCTTTGAAGAGAATACAGACACCTTGTGGTTTCTATCAAGCACAAACCACCGTTTACAGAAGGTTATCATTCTTCAGTGTGGATAATGATTGTTCATGTTATTGGTATAGCTATCATTCTTGGTATAGACGGCCCTTTAGTCCTGTCAAAACTCTTTCCACCCTTTGTTGTTTTGGTCCCTACTTATCCTGTTAACTGATCCCTGCAGATGAAATTATTTTTCCCTATGCCTTTATAGAAGAGTTCATATGTCAGGGAGGGCCTCAGTGAGACAGGTACTCCGTCAGTCAACAAACCATGAGCATACTCTTGGCAATTTTAGCACCCAGCTCATACCAATTTGAGACGATTATGTCAACTAATTATAAAAATACCGCTCACCTCGTAGGTTGCGTATGAAGTCCTCCAACATCATCTTGCGGTCGGGCTTGATGTTTGGACTGTACATGTCGGTGTTGAGCAGAATGATGGCGAAGGCCAGGATGAAGATGGTGTCCGGGTTGTGAAACTGCTGCACCACATCGGGGTTACACATGCAGTAGCGCTGACTGTTGGAGTAAAGGAGAAAGAAGACAGAGAATAAAGTGGAAGGTAAAGAAGGTGGAAAGGAGGCATATTGTCAGAGATGTGGGTCATGACAGCGGAGACAAACACAGGGGAATGAAGGAATGGAACAGGAAGATAGGATGTTAGAATAGGTGAGGCCGGGTTCAAGCAGATGATAAGCACAGAGACAGAGAGATAAATTAGAAAAATATAAGGGACAGGAAAAGGGACAGATGGGACGAAAAGACAAAGATATCGTTATCCTGAGACACTAAAACATCCTTCAACACTCTACATGCTCATAAAAGCCTTGACACAAGCCGAGCAAGAGAGCGTTGCACAGAAACAAGAGTTATGGCTTTAATTTTGTTCGTGGCTTCATCTGAAGCCGTTTGCTGCCTCTCACCAACAATGAACCTCACAGTGGGTGCTTTGCTGAAACGGTGTCTCTCTTCATAAATACATTTGTCCCACTGGATTGGATGGCTACATGGATCTTGCATTACCCAAGATAATGTCAAACAGACACATGCACCCACACATAGTATTCCGCATGAATCCGCTGAGCCATATTTAAACATTCTCCAACATTTATGGGCCTGGTTGCTGCATTTATGCGGGTTGTTATTGTGTCGGAGAGAAGAAATATGAAGTCTGAAATATGAAATCCCCTTACCTAGGCACTTTTCTGCAAAAGACCATGACAGGGGCCAGACACAGTTTGATCCCAAAAAACACCTCTAAATATGAGAGATGGAGAATGGAAATGCCTCTGTGTCATGCGGTTGTAGAAGCCATGAATCTAGCAGATTTGTAGACACCCACTTTGGGTGTTTGCATATGTGTGTGTTTAAGAAAGAGGAGCCCAGAGGAGAGAGATAAATTGTTTCTCTGTCGCTGTGAAGTGCATGGACACTTCCTGGTTAGGGGATGAATAAAACAATAGTACAAGATCTACTGCGTGTGAGTAATCAGAGATGGGAAAATACAGAGTAAAAGGAGAATAAGACGGTGTGTGTGTGTGTGTGTGTGTGTGTGTGTGTGTGTGTGTGTGTGTGTGTGTGTGCCCTGTGGGCTCGGTGTTGGCGTGTATACTGTAATCGTTACTTTAATCGGTCATCATTTCCACAGTGGAGCTGTAGCACCGCTTTGTAGACCCACTGAACCGCATGATTGGAATCTAATGTCTCTGTGGGACTGAGTAAAGAAACATATATTGGTATGCATACTGTGGGTCCATACCTTGTCACCCATACGCAGGTTTTAATGTGTTCTCCAACACAGCTTAAAGGAGCAGTGTGAAGTATATAAGAGGAACTATTGATAGAAACTGAAAATAATATTCTATAAAGCTGATATCATTTTTATGCTGATGACACACAATTGTACCTCTCTATCACACCAAATGCCTTTGCTTCATGCTCTCGCTGCCTGCCTCACTGACATTAATGTATGAATGGGTAGAAACTCTTTAAAGCTAAATGAGGAAAAAAAAATGAGATTCTTTTAATTGGACCCAAAGCAGCAAAAGAAAAAGTGCACTTAACACTTTCCTCGCCAGAGTATTATTTTTAAGTTGCCAGTCACCGCCAGCATTTTTGATCATATTCACTAATCTCTGAAGACGCACAGAATATTTTGTTCTATGAATATGTAAACAGTATATACGTTAACTAAAGAAGAGACCTTCTGTTTTTAAACACAAAAAAACATTTTATTCTATTTTATTCTGTTTCTTTTTTTATCAACACTTGAATTTGTGCATTTTCATTTTTGTCAAAGTCATTTTTAAGTACAAATAAATTTCACATTTACATTTTTTTTTCTCATTTCCTTATGTCAGTTTGGATTGTATAAATGAACATAATATTGCTGATACTAAAATAATATTCTCTTTGAGGTATAGCGGAACGCGTTGTCATCCCACCAAAGTTGTTGATTTAAAAAAGTTGTGGTGAGAGTTCAGAGTATGGGAGTTGTCCTACCCTGAGGGTAACAGCCTGTGCCAATGGATCGCTGCTGTGAGAGCTGGGGAGGGCCCACTCTAAAGCCAGTGTTTAGTTTGTCTGTACTGGGCTACTGTAGAAACATGGTGGTGCAACATGGTGGATTCTGTGGAAGAGGACCCACTCTCTTCATAGATAGACACGGCTGATTTTAAGGTAACAAAAACGACTGATAGATAATACACTAAAGAAAGTGTTATGAGTATTCAAATCAACTCCACTTTATTTTATA